AACCTTGGTGTGTATGTGGAAATTTCCCTTCGATGCTATTGGCTCTAACGACCAATGGGTTCCAGAGAAACGGTAAAAACGCCCATTTCCATGCACCCAAATGACCCCAGAGGTGGAGTTTTTTGTTGCTAAACCTCTCTAAAAAGGTCAAATGTCACTTGTTTTGCATCAGTCTTGATACAGGGTACTTATTATATGTTGTACTTTGGATTCCTAAAGCTTTTAGTCTACCATCCATCATCCAAGGGTAGTTTTCACTATAAGTACAACATATTTTTTGGACGGACAATATAATTTACAGTTTTTTACTATGTTCAATCTGAATTTTCTTTAAAATCAAAAAAATGTATATTGATTCTGACTCTTCTACATCCAACTCACAGGTTTATCATTACTTTGAGAACAAAGATTATTAATTGAACCCTTTTAGAAGGGAAGATATGGTCATTTGTTCTGGAAATGACATTTTTGAGCCTGAGACCTGAAAAACAGGGATGGGGTTTAACAGGTTAACAAAATGCGTCCTACATTACTGAAAACTGTTTTGTTGCCAAACTTGAAGTTGCATAAAAAACATCAAGAAGCAATACAAGCTCTATTCTGTTCATACACTTAACCAGTGGCAACTCGTCATTAGGGTCCCACCTACTGTCAGCAAAAATTAATTAAAATAATCATTCCAAAAATGTGTATGAAATATATGTTAAAATATATTTTAAGATCATGTTTAGTCGTCTTGTTCATCTCTACATTGATATTTTTTGTCTGCCTTCTTCTGATTAGTGTCTACAGTGTGCCTATTGAGCCGTGTTGAGCGATGTGGGGCAAGCCCCGATCTAGCCCCTCTCTCGCTGTAGAAATGAATGTGTACTGTGAAAACTACACTGCGTATTCAAGTATTGTGAGTATTCAATGTGTGCGGCAAAAAAATAATCACAAGTGGGCGAAGTGCTGGCAATCCCACCAAAAACGTAATCTCATAATTCAGCTGATTGGCTGTAAGCACGTGTGCCGCGAAAAGTGTAGTTGTGAAGAGGAGACGAGAGAGAGCAGCGTATAGCAATTAAAATCCGTGAAACGGAAAGAAAATGAATGAAGTTGACCATCTACTTCAGCTTTGGTAAGTTAATTTCATGTCATATATTTTGTTGATCTTCTGTGTTTTGCCTATAGGCTATGCTCTCTGGATCGATTGATATTGTGACCTCGGTGATAAGTGTCCGTGTTTTCCTTATATTTACAGTCTATGGTGTTTTAATGCTGAAGCATTACAGTTGTTGTTATTGTTAAGTATCGCTTTGTGATGGTGCCCTTTACTGCATGTTTTAAGGTGCATTACAATATGACCCCATGCTGTGTACGTAAATGTATGCACTGACAGTGTTTCTCCTTGTTCTTCATTCAAGGCTTCCAATATGTCATTTGACACTCTCTCTCTCCCCCCCCCCCCCCTCTCCCTCTCTCTCTCTATCGGGACCATGGATAGCCTACAGTTATTTGTTGACATGTTTAAAAAGTTATTCTTTTTTCTCTGCACCATCTGCTCCAGCTGCACTCCTCCTCCAGCTCCACCTCCACAGGGTAGTGATCACTGACGCTCAGAGCCTGGAACAGAAAATAACATTTAATAGTGTCAATAATTCACCTCATGCTTTGCCTGCTCTGGGGTGTTTCCACATTGCTTTATTTTGTGTTTGTTCTTCCGGTTAGAGCATGTGTGCTATTACTTGGAAAAGGGTTGCGAGCTTCATCAACATTTGTTTAACAAAGAAACAGTGTTTAAAGCTTTTGAATGGCTGTTATTAAGTTGTAACACTTTTCCGGGTAAGAAAATAACCATTTAGATAACCATTATGTGATTTGTTTATCCAAACAACGCATATTTGGGAATTTCAAATATGTTTCCAGCTGTGAGCAGCTGCTGGCTATTCGGTCAGCTTGATAAAAGTCAATAGTGTTTTTAAAATGACTCACTGCCAGAACTGTAGACACAAGTTCACACTGCAAGTTTAACCGTAGGATATTAAATAATATTCCTAAATTATGCGAGCCACCAATTTGTCAATAGGTAGCTAGATAGCTAACATTAGCTAGCTATCTTGTTAGATATATATAGCTAACATAAACTAGCTAGCTAAGTGAGATAGATACTGTAGCAAATGTTTCAGAGTTTGTAAAGTAGATAGCGAACTTTTGCTAGCTAGCTAGTTTGATAGATAGCTAATGTTCGTTGGCCAGCTTGTTAGGTTGATAGCTAACGTTAGCTAATCTTTGTCCACAATTCTTTTATAAAACTATCCTCATGTGCTTTAGTATTCTTTCCAACCAGCCAATGGGCTTTGGTAGTGTAGCTGTGAATGATCCTAAATAAAATGTATTGTTTACGATGCTGTTAGTGCTAAACTGGAAAAAATGATATGCATTTAAACCGGTAATGGGTTGGGCTGTGTCACTTCAGCAGGTTTCAGTGTTACAGTAGGGGAGACTGGGGGGTAACATCTCATCGTACCAACGATACCCCCAAACATGAGTCTCACTTTTTCTTGTGTCAAGTTCAACTCTCTCTTGAAGTTGTAGGCTTTGGCTGATTTGGGGACGATGGCCTTCAGCAGGTTCTCTGAAACCACGATCCTGTTGTTTGGAAATGCAGCACAATTCTTTTTTTTTTTTAAGAAACACAATAAATGCTTGGATTAAACTGTAACAATAAAATGTGTATTACCTGTCGTAGGTGTGGTTGTTGTTTCGAGTCATGGTGTTGACGTCATCGCCTATCAGCCAACGATAAGGAGCCGAGGAGATGAGGAGCGTTATCTTCTTCTTCTCGGAGAGATACTTTCCATCTGCATTAAAGTCTCCCAAAATCATAATGTTCTGCAGAAGAGAGAACAACACAACCAAATTCAGAATGGAAAAACACATTATGTTAATTTGTTTTTACTTTATTCATACTGTAGGTATTCAAAGCTTAAACAAGTTTCCTTACATGAGAAACAAAATTAAACCAAAATATTTAATCCCTCAAAAACTCATCACTTAATATCTTGATAAACAAAAAATGGTTAATATTAAATGTAAAGATTTTACCACATTGTTTTTCTCTCAAACCCATCAATAATATTTTAAACACTTACATCATTCTGCCATCTTTCCCTCACACCTTCAAACACATCATGAAGAGCGTTCAGCTCCGCCTCTGCGTTACTTGGTGTGGTGTGGACCGGGATCAACACCAGATCCTGCACAACTGGAGGCAAACACACACACACACACACACGCCGTTATCGCAACCTAAGTCTAATTTAATAAAAAGTATTTATCTTTAAACAGTCCATTTATGTCTTTCCTAAAGTTAGGACCTCACAATATAGAAAGGTCCTCACAACTTAGGTCACATTCACACCTAATAGTCAAAGTAAACTTTATTGTCAATCTACCAGTTTGTGTGTACAGACAGAGAGATCGAAATACCGTTTTCCACAATCCCGAATACAAAAACAATTGTATATCAAAATATGTGTGCAAATATGTATATCCTATATATACACAATCAATGACACATGTTTACATGTGCACACATTAAGACCTAAATAAAAACACAACAATCAATAAATACAAAATAACAGTCACTTAAATATTTTAGTGAAATAATGCAACAAACTGTCGTCTGGTGCTCACCAGACGACAGTTTGTTGCATTATTTCATTTCTCAGAAGGTTCGACTTGCGTTCACACGGACAAAACTCAAACGGACTATAAACTTTAAACACAAGTCATGTGCTCGGAAATGCTGTTCAGCAATTGGTGAGACATTAAGATTATATAATCAGACAACGTGCGATAAAAAAACATTATACCACTGAGAGACGTTCTGCTGTCAGGAGGAGGTTTCACCGACGACAGGTGGCTCTGACTTTATGTATAGTTGACGGAGCATTTTTACTTTACACGACACTGTTCAACACTTCATTCTGCTTTACTCTTTCACTAAAGATTTTGAATAGATCCGCGTTCTTGTGTCTCGTAAATACTACGCTTCCTGTGTTTTAGTGCAGACTGTGTTCACACCAGAGATGAACCGCTCCAGAGTTCACTACCAAGCGGTCCGAGACCACCTTTTTTAGTTCAGAGCTCTCAGACTGCGTTCACACCGACCCAAACAAACCGCACCAAGGGGGTAAACACTCCAGGGTTCGATTCCACCGGACTAAATAAGGCTGGTTTGAATGCGACCTAAAACTCCAAGTGGTCCTCACAATGATAGCCGTGCAAGACATATGCAAACACACATAAACACACCTGTGAGGACCTACATAAACCAAAAAATGTTGCCTAACCTTTAACCCTTATTTTAACTAAAGAAGTGCTTTATGTCACGCCCTGGCTCAAGGACGGACAAAGGAAGGAGACCACACAAGTGCATTTATTTAAAGAAACTAATTTAACTATGAAGTCAGTTAATCAGTAATGTGTGTAGTGGGTGTGTGAACAAGCATCAGTATATAAAGAAAGACCAACCCAACCAAGGTCCAGTAGAGCCAAGCAACCCAAGAGGAGAGAAAGACTGACTGCTCAGGCACCCATACTTGAAGCTGAGCAGTCAACCCAAATCAGGTGTCAGCAATCTCTCCTGATTTGGGGAGTGGCTAACCAGGGACCTGAGTCTAAGGCCTAGGGGCCGTCACATTTAGCATTCATTGAAGGTCTGTACCAAATATAAAGAACATGCCTAAATGTCCTCATAATCCATAAAGGCCCAACACACAAAACCCAAATTGATCCTCACAATGAAAGTCTAAAAAACTAAAACACACACCGACACACAAATACCTGTGTTTGGACAATTGAGAAGGACAACGAGAGGCTGTCTGGAGATCTCATCATTTCCTCCGTACTGGTAGGAGTCTAATATCTCCACTTCATTCTTTCTGGAAACAAAAAGCCACAAACATGTTCTGTATTATAAAGCTTATAAGCACACATGTTATGTTTTGTTTGTTTATTCATGTATTTTCATTAGTTAGTGAGATATCTCAAGCCTTGGGCAAGCAGCACACTGTGATGATTTGTAAAGCCTATGATGTTCTGGGTCTTATAGATTATAGAACTTAAAAGATTGAAGTCAAGCGTCTCAATGAAGAGTAATGTAATGTGTCACAGATTACTGGTTCAAAATATTGATAACTTTTTTTTTTTGTCTTTGATATTCCACACAGTTTTTAAATGATAAGTATCCGACTGAATGTGGCTGTTACCAATTTAAGACATATTTTAATTCCTGTGAGACATAACGTAAAGCACAATTGGTAGATGTGTACTGAGGCTTGGTCTGAATCCAGGGGGGTATACTACGAAGCAGGATGTTCTCTTAGCGGCTAAATTCAGGGAAAACTCCGGCTTTCCGGTCCTACGAAGCTGGTTCTCTTTTTAGCAGGCTAGATCTCCATGGTAACTTATGCTTAGCGGCTAACCTGGTCGGGAGCAGGTTAGGTTGCAGGCTAAGAGCTCAACTCAGTGAAAGCACTGCCTGCTGACCAATCAGAGCTCAGTGTGCGGAGTTTAAAGTGATCAAGTCATATTACAGGAGAAAGGAAATACAGAAAAGCTGCCGTCGCAGGAAAGACGGCCGGCAAAAATCACCGACTGTGTGAACGTGAACATTAATAGAATATCACCTCCATCTTCAGAGCAATCTGACTATTATAAATCTCATTTTTCCACCTCCGCAATATTGCCAAACTCCGTCCCTCTCTCACCGCCCTGCAGCTGAGCGACTCATTCACGCCTTCATCTCCTCCCGCCTTGACTATTGCAACTCCCTCCTCTACGGCATCAGCTCCACCTCCCTCAGTAGACTCCAGCGTGTCCAGAACGCAGCCGCCAGACTCCTCACCCACACCAAATCATGGCATCATATCACCCCTGTCCTCAAAGAACTCCACTGGCTCCCCGTTACACACCGCATCAATTACAAACTCCTGGTCCTCACTTATAAAGCCCTCCACCATCTGGCCCCCCCCCTACCTCACTGACCTCCTCACCCTCTACCAACCACCCCGGTCCCTCAGATCCACCTCAGCCGGTTTGCTTTCAATCCCCAAGGCCAAACTCCGGAGCTTCGGGGACAGAGCCTTCTCTGTGGCAGCCCCGAAGCTCTGGAACTCACTCCCCCAAGACCTCCGTGAGTCTGAGTCCCTCACCCTGTTCCAGTCCCGCCTCAAAACCCACCTTTTCAACTCTTTATCTATAAAGCCCCCCCCTCTTAATCAACTTCCTCCTGACTGCTTTTCTGTTGTGTTTTTGTTTTGTTTTGTTTTGTTTGTATACCCCCCCTCCCAAATGTAAAGCGTCTTTGGGTCCAGAAAAGCGCTATATAAAATTAATATATTATTATTATTATAACATTAGCGTTAAGAACACTTACCACATATCTACCACAACATAAGTAACCGGATCAGAGTAACATTAAGTACAGTCCGCGGCATATCACTTAATGTAGCCTATCATATATTTTCTTATCTGAGTCAGCTGAGCCGTATCTGGCCGTGCAACACTCACAGTGTCACATACTGTATGCAGAAGTATTATTTTAAGCAACACATTAAGTTGACGAAACACTCGAGACAAATGTAATTAAAGTCAAATCGTGTTTTAGACGGGGCAGTGATATCAAAAACCTGTTAATGTACGCATTCAAACACTTGTTCTGTTCCCAGCTGTATTCACCTTGCAGGTGCAGCTATGTGGCTTTTATCCTGGATAAAGTGTTTAAGTCATGGATGTTTAAAGTTTAACTTCTTCATTTTTGACTAGTATTAAAGTTGACTTTTCATTCAGGAAGTATGACGCTGCGCTGTCAGTATGCTTCTCCATGTTTCTGATTGGTCGAATGCTCCAAATACCACCCCTTTCATGTGAACGCGCACCTAACTAGATAGGAAACGGCTGGCTTGAGCGATCCACTTGATAACCAGCGTCGTAGTACAGTTTAGCGAGAGCGCGTATGTTTTGGATTAGGCCAACCGGCTAACTCAAACATATCCAGGTTAGGTTGAACCAGCTTCGTAGTATAGGCCCCAGTTCGAAGACCATTTGCCGTGTGTCATCACTCCCCATTTCAAGTCTGTCTCTGTTGCCCTAAAAGGTCTTTAAACTACACATAGGATTGTCCTGGTTTGGCTGTACTTGTGTTTCTGACCTGTAGAAGTAGACAAACTTCTCCTTGTAACGATTTGGTCCCAGAGATTCACTGCACAGCATGTCGTACGGATTAATTATGTTATCTCTGTCAGAAAACAAAACAACTGATTATCTCTCACAGTCATCAATTTCTGTTTTTGTTTCATTTTAGATGCCCCATAAGATTTCATTACCGACACTTGTTTTTAGGCAAAAGGTACTGCAGCACAAACAGTGTGAGTCACAAGACACTAAATACACATTTTGAACCTGAACAGAATAGGGCCCCTTTAAATAAATGTGCTTCTATGTGTGGAGAACTCACCTATAGACATTAAGGTGTTTGAGGAGCAGTTTCATGGCCTCACCACTCACATCCGTCACCTCCAGCAGCACCACCACGCTGTACTGAGACACAATCTGCAAAACACAACCACAGAGAAAAGAAAGCATAGAACTAAAAGCAATTTTTAAAATCTATAAATGTTTTCTATGTATAATAAACTGCTCCTTTCCTTTAATTTTCTCGCCATGTCCAAAAACATTAACTGAAATATTACACTGAACAAACTTGTGTGCTTCAGCACGGTGAGTTACCTCAATGATAATATCCCGTACGTCCTCCTTGTTGACTTTAGCCCTTCCCAGTCTCTGGACATTGAAGGCAGCGATCTTCATTTTGACTAAAAATATAAATCAAATGAATTTCATAGATTTAAACCGTTACACCCAACATATTATCAAGGCCAGTGGTGGACAGTAACAAAGAACATTTACTAGAGTACTCAATTACAAGGTACTTAACAAGAGTATACTGTATGCCCATTTAAATAAACTCTATTATCTTCTACTATTTGCATAATAGGTGACCTTTTTCATAATTCATAGTAAAAAGGTGGGGAAAAAGTGACGGGCCAATTCTCAAGAACTCTTCTGTAGATTGAGGTTAAGACCCTTAACAACACATACACACACACACACACACACACACACACACATACACACACACACACACACACACACACACACACACACACACGCACACACACACACACCTCTCTGGATGAAACAATGGAAATGACCTTGTTCCCTTTTCTTTATTGCTTGAACATCAGATTAATAAAAACAACTTGAATCTGAATAATTCTATGTTAGAAAGGTAAAATAATTCAAACTGAATTGATCCCATGAGAATCATTTAGATTAAAAACAGCAGAAAGTAATAATGATAATGTGGAGCTATAGTGTTCATTAAGGGTACAATCAGTGCTGGCTTCAATATATCTATAACTATTAAAAGTTACCTTTCTATAATACAGAAACATAAGGCATTTAATGTGTATTATTATATATATTATATAGTTCAATTATTATTTTCTGATTGTGAAAGCAGCTTTTTACTGTAGATTTTTGATGCGGTGTTATCTTTGATACTGTTGGATGATTTAATATATAAGAAATCCTCATGTTTTGTAATATACAAAATGTACTGGAAATTAGTTCATAGATACCAAATACCTTCTGTCTCTCAGTGAAATCAACAGTAAAAGCTGGACTGTGGGGTAGTGGTTGTGCAATGTTGCATCATGGGAGTTGTAGTCTCCAGGATTCCATCAGTGTTCCTGGTTCTGTAGATGTTTGCATCTCCTCTGATATAAAGTGTTAGATCAGCATGTTTTATCCATAAACTGTATTATCCCCGACAGGGGCGGTTCTACGGGGGGGTTTGCGATTCAGATGAGGTCCCCTCCGCGAGGTGAGGCCCCCCTCTGTGAGGTGAGCAGTCTAGGGAGGGGCGGACCTGCCTATGTAACAGCCTAGTGAGGCCTGTTAACATCACATTTATATTAAAAGATTCGGATTCCCGGCCACACCAATACAGCGAGAAGGACAGCACAATAGGTGTAAAATGGTTTATTTGTATAAAGTTACTTTAAAAACACTCCTTTGATAAATACTTAAAATAACGTAAGGTTAAAATAATGTTAATAAATATAAACCAGTTACTTAAGAATTACAGTTCTAGCAGGGGTTGATCAAATCCTGTCCGCTTGGAAGCGAACTCAACTCCAGGTTTTTGCCAGGCAGAAGTGCAAGGTTCAAGTCCCTTCCAGGAAATCCAGTGCCAGGATTTCCACGTTGCCGGCCCGCCGCACTCTGTCCGTCAGCCTCTGGTCGCGGAGCCCTCGGTAAACAACAAAAGGAGACTCAGGGGAGGGGACAACAATGTAACTTTCGTGACGTAAAACTAGACGCCCAAAAGCAGGAGAAATAGCCACTTTCTCTTAAACATAAGATCTCTAGCATCTAAAGCAATATTGGTAAATGATTTAATATCAGATTATAATATTGATATATGCTGTCTCACTGAAACTTGGTTGAGACATGAAGAATATGTCAGCATAAATGAGGCCACTCCACCCAGCCATATCAATACTCATATTGCCCGAGGCACGGGCCGAGGAGGTGGAGTTGCAGCAATCTTTGACTCAAGTTTGCTTATCAATACTAAACCAAAATTAAATTATACCTCCTTTGAAAGTCTCGTTTTTAGTCTTACGCATCCGACCTGGAAAACTTTGCAGCCAATCGTATTTGTTACAGTGTACCGTGCACCAGGTCCTTATTCAGAATTCTTATCTGAATTCTCTGAGTTTTTATCAACTTTGGTTCTTAAAACAGATAAAGTAATTTTCGTAGGTGACTTTAATATTCATGTTGACGATGATAAAAATAGCCTTACTGTTGCATTTAACTCTATATTAGATTCTGTTGGTTTCTGTCAGAGTGTAAATAAACCAACCCACTGCTATAATCACACTCTCGACCTTGTTCTGACTTATGGTATTGAAATTGAGCAACTATTAGTCGACCGCATAATCCTGCTTTATCCGACCATTTCTTAGTAACTTTTGAAGTACTGTTACGAGACTACAAAGCATTAGTCAAAAGCTCCTGCAGCAGAAACCTATCTGTTAGTGCTATAGCCAAATTTAAGGAAGAGATTCCACCAATACTTAACTCGATAGCATGTCTGCATGTAAGGGAGGAAACTTATACAAAATGTACACCACCCCAAATTGATCATGTTGTTGATAGTGCTACAGATGCGCTGCGAATAAAATTAGACTCTGTTGCTCCTTTGAAAAAGAAGAAAATAAAACAACATAGATTAGCTCCATGGCATAATGCCGAAACCCGCAAAATAAAGCAAAAGTCGAGACAACTTGAAAGGATATGGCGTTCCACTAAACTTGAAGAATCTCGTTTAATTTGGCATATTACTCTCAATGAATATAAGAAAGCACTGCGTAAAGCGAGAGCAGCCTACTACTCTTCATTAATAGATGAGAATAAGAATAATGCAAGATTTCTTTTCAGCACTGTAGCCAGGCTGACAGAAAGCCACAGCTCGATTGAGCCTTCTATTCCCATAGCACTCAGTAGTAATGATTTAATGTGCTTTTTTAAAGATAAAATTGTTACTCTTAGAAACAAAATTAATGACCTCTTGTCTTTGACCAGTATAGTGTTATCAACAGCTCCCGGAAACGTAAGTTCTAATATTACACTAGATAGTAAACTAGAATGCTTTTCAGCCATAAACCTTGAACAATTAAATTCAATGATTCTCTCTTCTAAACCATCAACGTGTATGTTAGACCCAATTCCAACTAAGCTGTTGAAGGAAGTTTTTCCATTAATTAGCACATATTTATTAAATATTATGAATATGTCTTTATTATCAGGCTATGTTCCACAATCATTCAAAGTAGCAGTGATAAAACCGCTTCTTAAAAAGCACAACCTCGATCCAGAGGTTTTAGCCAATTATAGACCTATTTCCAATCTTCCGTTCCTCTCAAAAATTCTTGAGAAAGCGGTCGCAAAACAGTTGTGTGATTACTTAAAAAACAATGATTGATTTGAAGATTTTCAGTCTGGCTTTAGAACACATCATAGCACAGAGACAGCTCTGGTTAAAGTGACAAATGACATTCTAATAGCCTCTGACAAGGGACGTGTCTCTATTCTTGTTTTGCTCGATCTCAGTGCTGCATTTGATACTATCGATCATGATATCTTATTGCAAAGACTAGAGCACTTAGTTGGCATACAGGGAACTGCTTTAGACTGGTTTAGGTCCTATCTATCTGAACGCTCTCAGTTTGTACGTGTCAACGATGAATCTTCCACGCAAACCAAAGTTAGCCATGGAGTGCCACAGGGCTCAGTGCTCGGACCTATTTTGTTCACATTATATATGCTTCCGTTAGGCAATATTATAAGGAATCATTCTGTACATTTTCATTGTTATGCGGATGATACTCAACTATATTTATCAATCAAGCCTGATGAAATTAATCATCTAAATAAAATTCAAGACTGCCTTAAGGACTTAAAAACGTGGATGACCTTAAACTTTTTGATGTTAAACACGACCAAAACTGAAGTTATTGTACTTGACCCGAAGAATCTACGAAACAAATTATCTAAATATATACTAACTATGGATGGCATTCATTTGGCCTCCAGTGAGACTGTAAGGAATCTTGGTGTTATATTTGATCAGGATTTATCCTTTAACGCCCACATAAAATCTATTTCAAGGACCACCTACTTCCATCTACGTAACATTGCAAAAATCAGGCATATCTTGCCTCAAAACGATGCAGAGAAACTAGTCCATGCATTTTTTACTTCAAGGCTGGATTATTGTAACTCTTTATTATCAGGGTGTACCAAGAAGTCAGTCAAGTCGCTTCAGCTGATTCAAAATGCTGCAGCTCGTGTACTAACCAGAGTTAGGAAAAGGGACCACATTACTCCTGTTCTGGCTGCCTTACACTGGCTCCCTATAGAACACAGGATAGAATTTAAAATTCTTCTTCTCGCCTACAAAGCCCTTAATGGGCAGGCGCCATCTTACCTTAAAGAACTCATTATACCCTACTGTCCTACTAGGGCATTGCGTTCCAAGAATGCAGGGTTGTTGGTTGTTCCTAGAGTCTCTAAAAGTACAATGGGAGCCAGAGCCTTTTCTTATCAAGCTCCACATTTGTGGAATCAGCTTCCAGTTTGTGTTCCGGCGGCAGACACCCTATCCGTTTTTAAGAGTGCGCTTAAGACCTTCCTTTTTGATAAAGCTTATAGTTAGGGCTGATTAGATTCAGCCCCTAGTTTTGCTGATATAGGCTTAGTTTGTCGGGGGGACATCTTACTTCTTCCTTCTCTCTGTCTATACCTGTGTACTCTCATGTTCCGATTAACCCAGCTTCCCCAAATCTCTTTCTTTTTGGTGTCTATATACGCCGGGATCCGGAGTCATGGATGATCCTGCGCTCCTCTGTCCTGGATCGCGAGCCCTGGATCTTGAGTCGTGGCTGTGGTCCTGGATCATAGGTCCTGGATGGATATCCTCGTGGATTCATCTTCCTATTATACACACATGCATTTCCAAACATTTGGACTACCTATGTTGCAAATGTATTATCTTTTCAATTTACACACGGCATCTATTGCACGTCTGTCCGTCCTGGGAGAGGGATCCCTCCTCTGTTGCTCTCCCTGAGGTTTCTCCCATGTTTCCCTTTAAACTGTGGGTTTTCTTCGGAAGTTTTTCCTTGTACGATGTGAGGGTCTAAGGACAGAGGGTGTCGTATTGTCATATTGATATTTTGTACAAACTGTAAAGTCCACTGAGACAAATGTAACATTTGTGATATTGGGCTATATAAATAAACATTGATTGATTGATTGATTTCCTTTATCTGGAGTTTGTTTGAGCGTTGAATCCGATGGTTAGAGGAGGGTCTGGTCCAGCCGACAGGAAGAGGAACTGCAGGGGTCCGTTCTTTGCGAGGAGCAGGAAGGATCCGGTCCGGTCCGATCTGCGGCGAGGTGAGGAGGAGCAGGAGGGATCTGATCCAGTCCGATTTGCTGCGAGGTGAGGAGGAGCAGGAGGGATCCGATCCGGTCCGATTTGCTGCGAGGTGAGGAGGAACAGGAGGGATCCGATCCGGTCCGATCTGCGGCGAGGTGAGGCAGCAACTGTCAAGAGAAGAATAGCTGCCGTCTAGCAGGTAGTCGGCGTATTTATGGGGGAGTGGATTTGGCAACTGGCGAATGAGATCGCTGATTTTCACTGGGTGCCGGTGTGTCAATCAGCAGTGTCTTTGTTGTGACAGTTCGTTGAGGAGGTTAAACAAGCATGTCAATAAAAAGAGTTCATCGCTAAATAGCGCACAACATTAAAATCACAACACTATATGCAACAATTATATAAAAGGTTTAACCATCCGTCCCACTGTCTAACATACTGACTTTATTCACTTTGTGACACCTACACCCATACATGCAAATAAACCAGTTCAACAAGTCCCACAATGCTGTCTGGCTAATGCAAATAGGCTAATTATGATACTAAAAGGGAAGTGTCCCAAAACATTTCAGAAAGAACTGTTTCTGCCAGAACCAGAGAAGAGTTAAATGTATTTTTGTAACTAATTAACTGATAAGACACAAGTAGAGTTTAAGATATTGCTAGAGATATAATTTCTAGGGCCGGGACTCGATTAAAAAAATTAATCTAATTAATTAGATGCTTTGTAATTAATTAATCGGAATTAATCGCATTTTTAATCACATATAAATATTTGACCTAAGAACAGTGAGAAGCAATTTTTTTCATGGATTTTAGTATACCATTAGGCGCATTCACACCGCAGTACTTTTCCCACAAAGGTTCATGAGAACTTAGTTCATGAGAACTCTTTGAACCTGGGGGAGGATTAGGCAAATGAAGCCGCTGACGTCACTTCTTCTTCTTCTGCTTTGGGTTTACTGGCAGGGCCGCAAACCACTTCACGGCGTATACTGCCGCCCAAAGTCCCCGGCCGGAAAGTCCCCGGAGTTGGGGACTGGCTTCAGTAGAAGCTGCTGGGAGTCCCAGCAGCCTTCCGAGTAAATCGCCAGAACGCGACACCTCCTCATCTCCACCGCTCCCATGTTTTATTTTGTGTTGCCATAAGTTAGTCTCTCTGCGTTTCTGCGCTGGGATAATGCTAATAATGCTAATGCAAGGATAATAAAATGGCGGCTTCACAAAACTTTTTGGGAGTTTTACGGGGCGTGGTTTGCAATCCGCCCAGCCAATCAGAAATATAGCTATTTTCTCACAAGAGAGCCGTACGAAAGTCCCTGCTCTCTAGCAGCTCTCTGCTCTCTAGCAGGGACTTTCGTGGGGGTAAAAAGGTTCTCATGAACTAATTTTAGTACCGGCTCTTTTTGGTGTGAACGCGATAAAAGAGGCTAACGTCCACGCTAGCTGCTATATGTTTTTGCATTGAGGTGATACTTGAGGCTTGATGTGCTGCGGTGGTATGCGAATTCCTTTTTGCATAATTTGCACACAACCGTGCTCTTATCGACGCTTCCATCCGTCCGTTTTTTAAAACAACATTTCCCACTTCACTGTGGTTTGTTGTTGTCTGAAGTCATGAACGTTAGTTGGTGCTCCAGTATAATCGGTACGCCTGAAACTCATCCAGTGAGAAACGTTCCGCGGTGCAAAAATAAGTGCGATTAAAATGCGTTAATTTTTTTAACGCGTTAATTTTTGTGTAATTAATTAATCTTAATTAACGCGTTAAAGTCCCGGCCCTAATAATTTCACATACTTTTATCAGAAATAATGTATTAATGTATTCAATTCTGGTCTTATTTCAAAATCTTACACATTTGGAACATAGTTATAGTGAATTATCAAAGACATTATATTTCTATTTATGTTTTATTTCCATATGTGAACATATAAGAAGGGCGGGGTCCATGACAGGTGCTCAAGCTATTTTGACTACCACACTGACCCGGGTACATAATATTGCAACAAAATCAAATTTGATGAATGTATTCCACAATAACTGAATATGTACATGTTCTAGACATTGTAATAATCACAAAAAAAAAACATTTGAGGCATTTTACTTACTTGAATCTGACAAATCCAGTCCAATAAAACAAAGAGATGTTGCTCGTTTGAAGATTCGGAAGTTGTGTGAGTGTATGGCCAGAGGGCAGGACCTATACACACCTTTAATACCAAATAGCATAGTGAGGCTGAACAAGAGGACCTTTTGACTACGTACATGTAGTCTTTAAAAAAACAAAACATGTACTGACTCTTTTAGGATAGCTTAAAGTAATGTTGTAAAATTACAACCGGGGTCCTTACAGGGTTAACTATGCGGTACTATTAAATCCACGTAAATTACACATCACAGCATTGAGGCCAGATGAATTAAACCAGGATACATCCTTTACCGTCAAACTGGGTCTAAACACAGCTGCCTGTGCGTTTGATAAATACTTTCTGATTTTATATTTAGTATATGCTACTTATCAGCTACATGGCCCTAACCTGTAAAGTTATACAAGCATTAGTACCAGTGCTTTTCACAAGTAGACTCTTGCAGTTCAGAGTAGCTGGAGTGATTCAACAACAACACAAAGACAAAGGCCATATCTGAGGTGATCAGGAGGAACAGAAAGAGTAAAAGGAAAAAATAGTTCACTGAAGAGACCAGGAGGGTGAGAGCAGGAGGAGATGAAGAGACCAGGAGGCTCAGAGCAGGAGGAAGAGGAGGAGATAAAGAGACCAGGAGGCTCAGAGCAGGAGGAAGAGGAGGAGATGAAGAGACCAGGAGGCTCAGAGCAGGAGGAAGAGGAGGAGATGAAGAGACCAGGAGGGTGAGAGCAGGAGGAAGAGGAGGAGATGAAGAGACCAGGAGGCTCAGAGCAGGAGGAAGAGGAGGAGATGAAGAGACCAGGAGGCTCAGAGCAGGAGGAAGAGGAGGAGATGAAGAGACCAGGAGGCTCAGAGCAGGAAGAAGAGGAGGAGATGAAGAGACCAGGAGGCTCAGAGCAGGAGGAAGAGGAGGAGATGAAGAGACCAGGAGGCTCAGAGCAGGAGGAAGAGGAGGAGATGAAGACATTAGTGAAGAAGAAGTCATGTATGTGAGGAATAAAGATGAAGTGTCAGAAAGAGGGACAGAGGCAGGGATCAGGAGGCAGATGAGACTCCAGCTGGACCACGTCGTATGTTTAAATTCTCTTTGCATACATATTCCATTACAGCAGCACAATCTAGTGGCTCTTAGTATTGACAAATATGTATTGAAATGTGTTGCTGCACAGGTCACCTTTGGCTCTCTTAAGAGACGGGTTATTTCATTTGTGTACTTAATTATAAAGTACTTTTACTTTACTTACAGTAAACAGAGTTCGAGGGTATCATGAGTATTGTTTGCTGTTTTATACCATATTTTAGTTTGATTGTCTGAACACCTTGTTTCTCTTGTGCATTAAGAACACTTGTTAGGGCATGATTTAACAATAAACAGGTTATATACAGTATAAAATACCACGTACTGTCTGCCCTCCCATGCCACCCTGGCATGACCTCTTAGTGGTCCGCGAAGGCATTGCAAGTGGGCCGGCAAATTATTTTTATTTGTTATTATTTTGTACAGGCTAAAGACACAAACATGGACATAACAATAACATATAGGAGATGACTTTCCCATCTCAGACACAAACGAAAACAGAAGAAATAAAGATACAGTCAGTAGGATCACTTCAACATTTCACAAACAAAAATAGGTTGACAACCAAATACCACCAAAAACACAACATGGCCACCCTATTATTTTTTGTGGCAATAACTTTTTTCAAAATAAATTGTATTTTTAATCTACTCTTCAAACACTTTAAATTAAGATTACTCCTTGATTTACTTTGTATATGTATACATGTGTATTTTAGCTAGAACAATAGATGTATTTACTAGTGTCTGTGCCTCTCTCTGGACTGTGCTGCTGACAGTTTGCTGAACGTTAAGTTAGCGGTGGCAGAGAATTCCACAACACATGACAAGAGTTCCTCATCACATAACGTCAACACAGGACAGGTATTGTTCGCATGTAAATAAGCTTCTATTCAACACGTTACTTTACATATATACATTTGTTTATGTAAAGTAACAGCAGTGCAGTGAACTTCAACATGGTGTCACACTCATCAGAACCCAATAGCACGACACAGATACAACCAGTGTTCAGAATGTTCAGTTGAATCGGGTCAGCGACAGGCAGGGTCAAAAGCGGGCACCCATGAACGCTCTTACCATAACCCTCCCAGTGTACCAGGTACTGCAACCCTCTTCCACGTCACCGGGATTTGATGAGGCGACGGACATTACATTACATTGTATTTAGCTGACGCTTTTATCCAAAGCGACTTACAATAAGTGCGTTCGACCAACAAGATACAAACTTGAAGAAAACAGAATCATATAAGTACATCAGGCTTCATAGAGCCAAAACATTTCAAGTGTTACTCAACTGGCTTTAGGTAAGCCAGTCCTTTATTAGTCTATAAGTGCTTTGTTAATAGTTCTATCGCTCGAAGTGGAGTCGAAAGAGATGAGTTTTCAGTCTGCGCCGGAAGGTGTGTAAGCTATCTGCTGTCCTGATGTCAATGGGGAGCTCATTCCACCAGAGAGGAGAGAGGACGGCACGTTCTGGTAAGCTATTGAAATTCTGAATCCATAGATGTGTCTCCCATCACCCAAAAGCCCTGACTATTCTTTCAACTCCGTATTTACATTCTTTTATTCAAATAAAATCAGTAATATCTTTAAAAACTACAAGTCCTTCTATATCAGCTGTGCACCGTTATGGTGTAAATATAACCTATCTACAAATTAGATCAAATGGGGCGAAGCCTGCGAACTAGTTCAGGCAGTCAACTCGAGCACCAATGATACATTAACATGTGACGCACCTCGTCCCTCTTACAACCAACCAAACACATTCTCCTAAACATGCCGCTCTATTTAAGCTGCCTCTGCCTCGCTATGCTGCCACTGCTGTGTTCACTTGCTATTGCTACGTTCATGTTCCTGCTGCTGTGTTTCATATTGCTGCTGCTCGCCTGCCCCACCACCACCCCAGCTTCCACCTGTAGGCTCGGGGGATAGTTATCTAATCATCACTCAATGTTCTTTGTAAATCTGTGGAGTGATGAGGCCCGAGCCGAGACGCCAAACTCAAACTATATGCTGCTTCTAATAAACATAGTAAGAAACACGTGAGTTGTCTGACTGAAATGTAAAAGTCAGCCGAATTAGTGTTGATACTGCAAGGAGACGTATTGTGTGAAGAGAAATTGAAGATGTTGTTTAATTGATGATATATGTATGATTCACGTCAAGTATTCAGTTTCGGCGGCATTTCTTCCAGTTTTTCCAAAGGTCTTCTCATCAGGGCGATTTAAAAAAAAAAAATGTAATAATTTTTTTTAAACCTTTATTCAACCAGATGGACCCATCGAGATCATCGATCTCTTTTTCAAGGGATACCTGTCCAACATGGCAGCAAGTAGGTTACAACATGAACATAAAACAACAGATAACACAAAAGGACATGGTATTTACAGGGCTACATGTACACACCTAGAGACATTGACAAGTACCAACAGTATATTTATATCTCGCCCTGTCAATAAGCCTCACCTTCTTGGCAAACACTGTATTGTTTTTGAAGTGGTGGAGAGACAATGCACAGTTTGACCCACTGCTGTCACCCATGGCCAAAGCATATCTCTCTGTCCCAGCAACATCAGTACCAAGCAAGAGAGTTGTTTCCACAGCAGGGGATTTTGTAAACGCCCAAACATCCCAGCTTCTACCTGGAAATGTGGACATGCTCATATTCCTAAAAGATAACCTTGATGATGCTGAGTGAGTGAGTTAGAGTTGAGTTACTTGAAAAACTAAAGTGAAACTTGATTTATTCTATTGCAGGGTCCGATTATTATATTGTTGACACCTTAAAATACTACTATCCTAGAAATCAGATTTATTATTTAATAAAGAAAAAAAAATGTAAGTACTTTTTATCGCGATATTATCGTACCGTGAGTTTTTGGTATTGTTACATCCCTATGTATTACAATGCCGTTATGTGATGACTTTCAAAGAGAAAAGCAAGAACACTCGGAATTAAGTATTATTATTTTTTTTTTTAATGTTTTTCCGATTTCATATCATATAAACACCAAATCCCAACATGCATTGCGGCTAAAACATCCAATCAGCGAGCTTAAACCATAGCTGAGGATCTTGGGTAATCGCTCGAAATGCCTACGTCTGTTTCCGGTTATTTTTATTTTGAAATTCAGTTCTTGACGGACGCCAAAAAAGCCTGAGATTATGGAATTAAACAAATAATAAAAACAAGGATAATTGTGTGTTATTGGTGAGTAAATAACAGTGTGTTATTTAGAAAAGAATAACAAATTAGAAGGAAAAAAAGATTTAAAAAAATACAGATTTCAGTATCCTGAGGCTCTGAGCCATTTATTTTCCTCACAGAAGGCAAAAAAAGTCAGACATTATACGATTTAAAATAAAAACAATAATCGTGGCTTGATATTGAGTAAGAACATGCTTTATGAACCCCACAGCTTCCAGTCTTCCAAGACCCGAACGGACAAAAAGACGTGGTGCAGGCACGAAACATACTACCAATAGAAATACATTGCTTTTAAAATCGAGTGTGACACGAAAAAAAAAAAGAAGGGAAAAATCGTGATGGTGAACACGAATCAATAGATTAAATGTCGTGACTATAACACGAAATGCCGTGAGACTGGGTTGAAATGAAACCTTTCGTCCTGGCTATAATTACCTGGAGAAAGCCCGCCGCACTGGTCGCGGTGGAGGATTAGCCGTAATACACCGCAGTGACCTGAAACGGGCCCCCTTTGGCGCGTTCACACCGGAGTACTTTTCCCACAATAGTTAATCAGAACTACGATATATTTGCGTTCACACCAAAAAGCCCCAGGAACTAAATTAGTTCATCAGAACCATTTTTACCCGCTTTCGTGGGAGAAAAAGGTTCATATGTCTGATTGGCTGGACGGAATGCAAACCACGCCCCGTACATATATATATTAGTCATATAATAAAATAA